TGGAAATGGTCATTGCTAGCTCATATTACCCTACACAACCCCAATATAACCCCCAATATCAAGAGCTCAGGACCTTCAGCATCTCCCCCAGCACAGCAGCATCTTCAAGGCCACTGTTGATGCCTGGCAACGAGGGTTTAGGGCTTAGGATTTAGGGTTCAGGATTTAGGTTTTAGGGTTTAGGGTTTAGGATTCAGGGTTTAGGATTTAGGGTTTAGGATTTAGGGTCCTGGCAACGCCCCAGCAACCGCCTTCATTGTGCGATCTAATTTCATGGGCCCCTGAATTTCATGGGCCCCTGTATATCCCTGTAGAACCTCTTACAGTATATTATTCCATATAACCCTTACGTTACCCCCTATATAATCCCCATAAAACCCCAATATCACTCGAATGCTGATTCTAGGGTTGAAACCATGGGCCGCAAGTATGGGCCCTTAACCCTGCGATCCTTATATATCTACTATATACTTAGAATCTCGCTAAAAGGCCTAGGGGCCCATACTTCTAACCTTTGATAGTCTGTTCTCAGAGATACCCTGTACTCTGATTGTGGTTTCGATTACACATTGGGTCCTGCCCCTACCCATTAACCGTCTATCATATTAAGGGCTCTATATACTCATAAGATAAATATTATCCAGCTGTAATGGGTGGGGGCATTACCCAAATTATCCATCTGTGCTTGTAAAGGATGATGTCGGGGGCTGACAGTTTGACTTCATGCAAGGCAGCCTTTATTTGGCCCTTGCTGTGTGCCGTAGGGACAGAAGCCCAAGAATGTGCCAGAAGCCATGCGTGTTTTGGTTGTGGGCTTCTGCTACAGGTCCCTTCCGTGAACAACCACCCTCCAATGCTCCGACCCTCCTTGGTGAAAGGCCGGTGTTTGAATCCTCGCTGCCTGGAGCTGGCCTAGCTCCATCACCCTGACAAACCAGGCGCTAACATTCCAAAACCGAGAATCCAAGACATCCACAAACAAGTAAGAAGCTAGTACAAGATTCTTGCATAAGCATAAGCTTGGAATGCGGCACAACTAAACCAGCTTGACACAGCCTTCTACTGCTCTGCGCTTTAGCATAATATAGGAGCCCTAGGTAATTACCAGCAATTACCAATATCATGTTAAAGTCCATTTGAGTTACCAACTTCCACGATTATACAAGGAATCTAGGACCATTTGGTCTGTAATTACTCCTCTCCCTGCTTGATGCTCGCTCCAGTTCTGGTTTTACTTCATTGCTGGGCCCGCAGAATTTCTGTAGACCTAGCTCACGGATTTCAGGTCTCAAGGCTTGTGGCTTCCCTGAACGACCTTAACCCCTCCAAAAGTTGTAGAATCGTAGCCTTTGTTGTATTATCCTATGTAAGCCCTAGTTAGCCCTAGTTCCCATTCGACTTTCAATGGTCTTTTCCAGTAGTTGGAGGATTATAAATTTGTAAAAACCAGTGGGGAAGCCCTCCTTCGCCAGTGGCTGGCTGCACAGCGTGCGCGGCATCGCCAATGATGCAAATCCAGCCTGCCGTCTGATGCTCCCTCCGATATTCTTGCACAAAAATAAGACACGTACGGATATTAATAATACAAATACTAATCACCATTATTGTTGTGAGTGTCATTATTATTATGACAGTCAGTAATGATACTGATGGTCGCAAGAATGATGTTAGCGTTGTTGCTCTTAAAGTTCCTGACTCTTCGTGACCGTGACACCGTCCAAGCTGTTCCGCGGGTCCTAGGTATAGTGCGTAGGCGTCTATAAATACAAATAAGTAACTAAATACATATATCTATATATATATATACTGTTGGGAAGAAGTGTAGGTTTCGGAGGCCAACCTAAAACGCTAGTAACAACAAAGCAAAAGCAAAACCCTGTGTCAAAAAAAACAGCGCCCTTGGTGGATGCTCTGTTCGCAGGACCTGTGTAGGGTCATGCGGGTCTCCACGGTACCGTCGTTCTGCGATGCAAGCTCGTCAACTGGACTTTTGCATAGCGCACACATCCGTGTTCTCAACCTACTGATGACTGGTAGGGCTGCTGAACAGCTTGGGCGTGCACCACCTGAAACCTCTAACAACACCTTGCGTCAGGTTAAAGCAGTTCCCTGTGCACATGGGGCTTTCCATAAATCATGGGCCCCTTATGGGAGCCTAGCTATAAGGAGGCTTGCAAAATTATGGGGTCTATGGTGACTTAGACACGAGGACAAGGGATTGCCAAGCCTGCAGGGTTGAGACACGAGCACTTCACCACAACGCCGTCGAAGGCTTTGCAGTCGTACCACTTTCGGTACGCCTCGCCCGGCGCTTCGCAGACTGAAAGTAAGAAGAGGAAAATACTACCCCAATAATGAAGAGTCAAATGGAGAAGAAAAGGAACAACGAAATGGAAACCAACGACGTGGAAACTGGGTTTTCACAGGTATTGCTAGGTGATAAGCGGATTTTGGTAGCCCCGGCCCCTATAAAAGGGACAGTGTAAGCGTCATGTCATGATGGTCATAGGCTTTTCTTATTGGGGTTGAGGTTGCCAAAGTCTCCTTGTTAGACGGGGTCTCAAACAGCAGGTGGCAGTCAAAGTTTCACGGTGCCCGAAACCCTTTACCCCTGGTCACCCCAAACCCTAAACTACCCTGAACCCTCAAAACTGTAGCGGTTTCCATTTTCTTTTCCATTCCTTTATTTCTATATAGTATATGTATATACATACGGTATTCTAAACCCAGGACTATCCTGCCCAGGCTGAGTGCGCGGCCTCGTCGTCTAGCAAGTTGTCGGCCGCAAACTTGGCATAGGTCTGGACGTACTCCTGGCAACTTCACCCCTGGAGTTTCAGCCGGTTGAGGGTTTAGGGGCTAGGGTTTAGGGACCAATCCATGCGCCGATCAAGAAGCCATTGAGACTGGGGCTTTCTTCAAAACCCGCGCCCGCTGTGAGACATCCCAGGCTAATCCAGGCTACCACCCAAAGGGTTTAGGGCTATGCCCTCAATAACCCTGCTCACCGCAGGCGGGACCTCCAGGGGCCTCCATGCGCCTCTAGAGTCCCCCAAAGCCTCCATTGCAGAAACTTTGTTTCTTCAGTGTCTGACCACCCCAGGGTGGGAACCGCCTAAGCAGGCCGGGTGGGAATTTAGGGATTAGGGGTTAGGGTATGTAGACCCCCTAGAGGTTCACCTGCGCATTGTGATGTGAGACCATGAATAGCTCGAAACTACTTCTAGCCAACTATGAGTGATATCCCCAAGCCCCAAATAATCCCTAAATAACCCGACATAACCCCTATACACTCTCTATATAATGCCTATGCAACCCGTACAAACCGTAGAACAAGCTACCCTGGACCCCAAATTACTGGTGCCACATTGCAGAAAATTGATATGGGGACCAATATGATAATAGGAACCCCACTATAGGGACCCAAATTACAATGAATTTCCTCAAGTGTCCTAAGCCTACAAACCGCAGAACAAGCTCTTTGGATTAAGCCTAGACCCTGACTCCTAAGCCCACTTTATTCTCATTATTGGAGGTGAATGACTTTCTATCCTAAACCCTAAACCCTAAATCCTAAACCTCAACTGTGGTCCTTGAGCTTCTGCACGTTTTCATCCGTCGCCTGGTCACTGGTGATGAACTCCTCATCGCTGTCCGGCAAGACCCGCAAAGAGATGCTCCACTCCTGAGTAGTATCTAGGCTCCAAAGGGGATTATAGAGGGGTTATATGGGTTGTATACGGATATGTAGGGCTTGTATAAGGATGTTGGAGAAGCAAACGGAAAAGGACATGGATGATTACATGGAAGCTGAGATTACATAGTGGTCTATTGGGATTATCTACCAGTTGCTTGGACGCAAGCACACACACACACACCTTCCGCAGAGGGAAGCAGCGAATTCTTGCTGCTGCGCCAGCCCTTACAGCACGGCCAAGTTTCCCCGTTCGGTTGCTGGCAGACGTAGCCCTTATCACCTAGCACGAAGTGAACATCCGGGTTGACCTCTGTCTGCCCGGGCACGCCCTTGGAGTTCATGAAGCGCAGCCTTACGGTCCCACGCACCATGAAATGGCTTACAGCTTCAACGAGCAACTTCTGTCACACAAAAACAATCCTGTTGATTTCGAGGGGTTGTGCCAATCGTCGAGTTAACCTGCTGTATGTTGGAGGCTATTGCACACCTAGTTAAGATACGACTCACGAAAAACACAAGCGATGCTGCTTGAAGACTCCCGAGCTCCCACACACCCAGACCCGCCTACCATCTATTTGAGCCTAAGTACCCACTAGAAGGGGCCCTACAAACACCCAAATAAAGAGTACCAGGAGGGTACTTGCAGGGTCCTGGACTACAGCATAGACAACACAGACACCTGCTCTGAGGCCTCCAAATTGTACCTAGCAGCTGAAAGCCCCAGGGGTCCGCATCAGCGCTGAAGTCAGCTACATGCTCCTGTGGCTCGTTGTAAGTAGGGGAATGAACCCTAAAGCCTGAATCAGTGGCAAAGGATCATCTCAAGGGGCTACGGTTGAGGGTTTAGGGTACTATAGGATCCATTCCTCCATTGGCTACTAACAAGCCCCAAACCTCTATGCCCTGTCCATTCCCTACTGCTTACTGGGGATCAGTAGGGAAATAGGGAAAATCTTGTTTAGGGATTCTATAGCGATTTTATTCCGTAATTCCCTACAAAACACTAGTGAGACTCCCAAGCAGCACGTCCTCGCAAAAGCGTCGCACCCTTGAGCGGTTTCCATCAGCTGCGACGAGGCGCTCGGCCGAGAACGTCTTTTGAGAGCCTGCAGTGGGATACATTTAGGGTCAAGGGCCCTGACATAATGAGTTTCTTATGGCTATATCAGGATTATGTAAGGATTATAGGCCAGAACAATCCAAAACTATTCCCAGGAATATCCCAGGCAATAGCAATAGTAATGACAACAGGAGCAACAAGGGCTTCATTTTTCTTCAGTCTTCTGATAATGAAGAATCACATGGAAAACGCATAGAAGCCAAAGGGTTGCAGACTTTTTGCCCCACTGGAAAAGAAAGTTTGGGCATGATGTGGAAACTGGGCCTATATACAGGTGGATACAACCTCAAATACCACATTGCATTTCGAAGGTTCTTTTCCATACGATTCTCCATTGCTTAGTTATAACTTGAGTTCTCTGTACCTGGATTTAATCACGAGCTCTGAGTACGTAGAAAGGTCTTGCCAAGAAAGCTAGGTTGGGGTTGTGGCAAGGACGGTTAGGACCAGAAAATCTCAAGCTGCTGGTGCAGACAAAGATCCATCCGGCAGCTCGAAGGTGCAGGTCTTAGTCTGGAAGTCAATGCTCGAGAGCTTATGTTCCCAGTAGAAGGAAATGTTTTCCTGGGCCTCTGCTGCTTCCAGGAGCAGGTGGGCTGTCTGGTCCCGCATGATGCAAGTGCCATATGTGGGCACCTTTGCAACTGTCTTGTTGTCGGGCACGATGTGTAGCTCCTTCACTGCCATTCCGATCTCCTGGGCCTTGGCCATGAGTGTCGGGTCGAGGGATTCCAGAGCGGATAAGCCACGTGCATTCAGCACCACCTCGACTGCTCTGCAACACAAAGCCCTGACATCTCTCCGCTCAAAGAGCACAGCATGCAAGGTGCGACTCACAGACGCACGTCAGTGACCTGTAACACAAAGGGCCCCCGATCGTGGCTGCTGACATGCCAAATTTGCGTTGCATTTCAGAATAAAAACCTCATCTTAAGCATGTGCAAGGCACTGGGTAGGAGCCGAAAACGTTCTCTGGCTTAGGACGGCCCTCAAAGACTGCCACGCGGCTTCCAGCCTCTGCTGAGCCAAGTGTTGCGTCTCACCAGCGCATCCGTCAACAAATACATTCCACGTGTATTTCACACAGTGTGGAAATCTACATTTGCCTTAAGATCACGAATGACCTATTTGTTCTGTTCAAGGTACAATTCAAATGACCGAGAACTTCCGTGCTGTTGATGGACGAATTCCTGCATGACCCTAGGTATACTTGAAACTTAGTAGCAACATTCTCAAGGTTCAGTATTTGTAGGGTCCTGCCAGATTTCGTCCCATCAACGGTACCTCTAAAACCCAAAGGGTCCTCAAGTACTTACCACCCGCAACATCCAGGCCTTCGCAATGAAGCCGGCGGCTGCGAGCCCAGCTGGACCGGCACCGATGACGATGTACTCTGCCTCGATGATCAGCAATGTAATCATATACAGTAACAATGACAACAATCATCGTGAATAACCTCACATAGCAATACCTCATGCTGCACTACAAAATGTTGTAAGAATAGCGTAAGGGAACCGTGGTAATACTATTGCAGCCAAATAGTCATGACATGCGAAACTTAATATCATAAGTCATAAACATGATACGGTAATAACACAGTACAACAACGCTATGGAAACACGTAGCAGCATGAGAAGGTAAGTCTAGATGGGTAGCACGGGTGAAATACAGGCGTTCGGGGTCTGATCTGTTGTGCACGGCTCAGCGTCAACTGAGTTTCCACGTTCTGGCAAAATTTGCTTATTTTGTGGGTGGCTCTGCGCAGCATACACTGAAATCTGGGGTTGGTTGATCTGCAACATCAGGACCAGAACAACTCCTGAGGATTGAGGGTCTCAACTCCAAGCCCTTGCCCCGCAAGCACGGCATCGTTGCCTGCATCGACATGAATCTTGCTCTGCTTAGGAATTGAATTGGGCTCAGCAAATGCGGCGAGGTTGGCTCGAGCCAAATTCACAATGCTAGGGCTTTCGACTTTACATGCAACAGGGCTCATTTTTTTCATCAGGAGCTTAGTTGTCTTTACTGCACGGCCCAAAGTCCACATGCCGCCTGTCATAAACTCAATGAAGCAGAGACCTGGAACTCGGGTAGGCAACTGCGGTCCCCATGCCTCCCACACATGACCCTGCAACACGCAAGCACTGAGCCACTGCAGCATTGATGGCACCACACATCCGCATCAACCAAACAGCAAGGTCAACATACTCATCTCAGGCAAGATTAATGGCGCCATCTCATTTCTAAGAATGACAGCAGTCCTTGCTACGGAATATGTGGGTATAAATTGCACCTGTTCCTGCCCTCAGCACCCCTTTGCAAATCCGATCATCTTGCAGCATTTGCAGCAGCTTAAACTCAATCAAATCCGAAATGGGCCTCCTTGACACCTTTTCTTGTCTCAAACAATGAGTGTGTAGGACGCATTTGGCACGCCATCATTTGCCATCCTGACTTGTGCTGTAGCTGCGCGACTTAAACCTATGTAAAGAATACAAGGGATTATACCATACGTTCTTTGCCGGCTCTGAGCCCACCAAATAGCAAATTCAGTGCACAAGCTTAGAAACTTGGGTGTTATCTTTTGAGCTGTTCACACTTGATAGACCTGCACGGTTTTACACGGCAGTGTACGGCTATATCGGCCACGACATGCGACCTGTTGCTGCGAAAACGACAGGCCCCTCACCAAATAGGATTCCACAGCCAAGGCATGAAAAACGTCAGTTTCAGTTGCTAAAATCCCCATACGAGTAATATGGACCGTTCTTCACCGACGTGCTCCGAATTTTTTGGAAAGAACGATTAACCCGCCAATGTCAGGACTCCATGCCACGCCGCCTCCCCACATCCAACTCCTTGGGCTGTCATTGCACCTGTGTCGTCATGATCATCCGTCATCAGTTGCGGCGGTAGTGGCGGTAGCTGGACAAAACACCCGATTAACGCAAGGAAAATGCAAGAGTGGAAACAGAGGACGGACCTCCCGAAGCGGCAGTGGCCTCTTCTGTAGTCCTGGTAGAAATGCCGCAAAGTGTCTCGGCATGCTTGTAACACTTTGTCAAGCACATATTGCGCCCAGCACCGCGCACTGCGGTTGAGTACTGCTTGCAGAGGTGGGTTGTCTGTTAGGGGTTGGCAGGTGATTGGGGGATGGCAGGCGATTGGGGCATGGCAAGTGCTGGGGGGATGGCGAGTGCTTGGGGTATGGCATGGAGGACGGCGGGTTGCACGAGGGGTGCGAATTAGGGTGTCTTGAAGTTTTGGGCGGCCAAGATGGGCGGCTGGCCAGGAAGCCCGCGCATGACCGCAAATCGCCCTTGGAACATTGAGGAGGGCAAATTGCCTCAAGCAAGGCTGCGCTCAACTTTGATTCGTATCTGTTTTCCCCCACCCCAAGGTAATATTCAGGACGGGATCAGAGGCCTGCAGAAATTTTCAGCAAATGTGTACGTGGATGTTTCCCATCTGCTTGAAAGCATGAGATCAGTACATAAAGCACAGCCAGGCGTCCCTGTCTGAGGCAGAATCCTACCTCGCCCGTGAACACCTGTGAGAAGTTGGGATGCGGCGTTCAATCTACGTCTCTTCGCACAACAAGTTCCCTTGAGGTTCAAGCTTTGATGGCAGTGGCACTTTGACGCAACTCTCCCTCTGCCTTGATGCCATAGACCCAGTAGTCGAACTTTTTGGTCACTTTAAACGCGGCATCCTGCGCGACCGGCTCAGTTGAGGCCAAACCCTGAGCGTACTAAACGAACTTAAAAACACAAGGAATGCCTTTCTGCCCGTACTTGTAGTGTATGGGCATTTGTCCAGAATCTTTTCCCTTGAAGAATTGTGTGACGATGCGGACCATGCAGGACTCCTGTCAAATTTGTGGCATGACAATCAATCTGCACGAAAATGGAGCCACAAACCACTGCGGCAGAATCACTGTTACTTAAACCTGCCCACATCGCCACCGAATCGGTGAAAAACAATTTGGCACCAAAGTTGATCCATGTCTCTTGAAATTCGTTCTTTTCGTTCTCTGGTACTACAGCTTTAGAACTGGAGCGGCCGTCTCCGGCAACCGGATGGATTTTCGTTCTCTGGTAGTACAACTTTAGTACTGGAACGGCTGTCTCCGCCAACCGGATAGCTTTTCGTTCTCTGGCAGTACAAGTTTAGCACTGGAACGGCCGCCTCCGGCAACCGGATGGATTTTCGTTCTCTGGTAACATACAACTTTAGTACTGAAAAGACCGTCTCCAGCAACCGGATGGGTTTCTTCTGTGGTAGTATATACAAGTTTAGCCGTCGTCTTCGGCAACTGGATGGATTTTCGTTCCCTAGTAGTTTAACTTCAGTACCACATTTTTTCCGGAAATTTGGACCTGGTGAGCGGCCCATCGTTTTCCAACCCCAAATGCTGTCTCCAAATCTTTGTGTCGCTCCCCCTCTAGCCCTGCACTTTAAAAAAGACCGCGCTTGACACATGCTCACTTCTTTTTCCTTCGCTGATGCCCCGCGTGAGCGTTCGTTTTGCGCATTTGCAGGCGGAGGGAGCGCATTAGGGTGCAAAAGCATTGCCTCAAAGGTCCTGGAGGTCTCTTCCATTTTGGGCTTTAGGAACGACTCGCATCGTCCTGGAACAAAAGACCTTTAGTAGCAGCTCACGTTGCTTAAACATCCTGCCTCTGGTGCGGTAGGACCTGACTCTGCCTGTGCCAGAGGTCATGCCTGAAGCCAAACAATGACTTCCCACCTACTTGCCGGATGTGAGGTTAGCGGTTATGGGTTTAGGTTGTACACTTTCACCCCAAGCTGACTGTATGTAGTGTGGCAAAAGAATCCAGAAAAACTTCTAAAAAGCAGATGCCCTAGAGATTGCCAGAGATTTCCCTGGCAGGCAGAGTCCACGCGACAACTGTCCGCTCTACCTCCCACTGCCTCAGACAAACTTGGGGGCTTATATCTAACGTGAGCTATAGTCTAAACTCTTAGTATCCCCTTCATAACCCCCACAGTAGTGTCCCCTGTAACCCTGCTGTGCCTCCTCCCCTAGCCTCCCCCGGCCTGAATCACTTTAAGAAGTAAGGCTGCACCTGGATATTGTGTTAGAGGACCACATGAGCCATACTCTAAATTCCTGTTAAAGTGATGTCTATAAGAACATCCTTCATCCTGACCATGAGTCATAATCTAAATTCCTTCAAGGGGGTTAAAAAGGGACTTATATGGGTTTTAGGGTTTAGGGTCTAAACTCCTTAAAGGGAATTAACTCCATTTCTAGTCTGTGCTGCGGCGCAAAGCCAGCTAATAGGCTCCTTCTAACAACAACAAAGGGGGACATTACTTGTAAGGATAATAAAATTGAAGCTGCTATAGTCTATTGGGGTTATATGGGGATAATGGAAAATGAGATGGAAACTATTATTTAGGGTTTAGGAACTATAGTTTACTGAGGTTATATGGGGATAATGAAAAATGAGATGGAAACTATTTTCTAGGGTTTAGGAACCCTAAACCCGAAACCTTATCCCAAAGTGTCACCTCGATTTCCCTGACGAGCAGTCTCTATCCGCGTTCCTTGTCAAGACCTTTCCCTAGGGATCCAAACAGCCCAATGTAAGTAATATGTACAGGCTTTAAGGCCCAATTTAGGTATTATTTGTATACTTGGACCCCTAGGGTTTGCACCAATGTCTCAAGCGCAAGAAACGGTTCAAGCCATAGTAATCGGAGTTGCTGCCGCATGTTGATCAGTTGATCCACTGCGACCCCTACGTAAGAGAGGTCCATAACTGGGGGCCAAAGAGAGACCCCGATATACTAGAGTCCTCCTTGCTGGACCTCCAAAATTATCCATGTTTTGGAAATCTTTATGTAGCGTCCATGGCATACACTGGTCCTATGTGAGGTGCGGTCAATATTACCCAGGTAATTAATGGACATGGGTTCCTTATTAGGGACTACATTAGGGACTATACGAAACTACAAAGAGAGACCCCTATGTGCACTCTTCAGGCCCCTCAACAAGGCTGATATTGACAGTAGCTGACAGAGGGAGAGCTGAGGCATTGGGACGGCAGGACATTGTCCGCCTGTGCTTCGCAAGCAACGGATCTGACAGCCAGAAAGGAGTCACAGCGTGTGACAAACTCTCCAACAGCTTCAGCTGTGCAAGAGGGTCCGGCTCATGACATGATGTGGGTAGTTTTGGGTACGAGTTTGCTCTGTGAAGCCTGTCTCACCTTACTCGCTATGATGCAAGCATGACGGCACTTTGGAAATTGAAGTATGCTGGTAGCGGAGTCTGCGCAACCGCTGCTGCTTCTTTGCGTGAAAAACCCCAGAAGCACATATCACTGTGGGATATCTACTATAGCTTTCTATATCTCACGGTAACATATCCACTATGTGTAGCTACTGCTCACAGGATTTCTCGAGTTGGACTTGTTCTTCCAGCTGAAATGCCCAGTCTTATTCGTTGAGGCCCCGTATCTCCATGTGGCTCTGTTTCGAGCTGGACCAGGATGAATTGCAGCTGCGTCAGGATGACGCGCCAGGCTCAGCCTAGGACCTTCAGGGGCCGAATGCGGATCTCAGATCTCCAAAACCAACAATAAGCAAGATCTGCGAGGGTTCGATGAACACATGCCACCAAGGTTCTCATGACACCTATGAAGCTTGCTGTGTTACCCTAGCTTTCCAGGCAGGAAACAGCAATAGTTGTTGACGTTGTCGTTGCTGCTGTTGGCCCGCCCCCGCCTGCCCGCCCGCAGGCGGGCGGGTGGGCCTTCGGGTAGGCCTGCGGGCGGGCGGGCGGCGCCGTAGCAGCCGCGGCATGCAGTTGTCGTAATTGTTATGCTAGAATGGCAGCAGCTGCAGTAGAGGCACTAACATTTGCAACAGCATTATAAAGTGGAGGAGCAGAAGGCTTTGTGCAGATTTCTAGCTTCGCATCTCTGTAGGGGTTTCCGACATTGGAGGCCCCTTTTCTGGGACTCCCTATAATCAGGATTGTAGTGTATATGGGACAGCGTCGGGGCCCTTCTTCATGGAAGCCAATCCTTGTTTCACCGCAATTGGTGCTTCGATTTTGTAATGGCAACCCGAATGGCAGCTACAGCCAACAGTTACTAACCTGCCAACCCCTATATCAACTCTTAAAATGGTCCATTGGTAAACCCCAAACCCTGAACCTGCTCGCGCCGAACCATGGCCCAAGACCCGCCTCACGTGCAGCATCCCGCGACGGGCTTTTCGCCCTGGTAGGGGCATGATTCAGAGTTCCTCATACTGGTACGTGTTTTCCTGAATATGCAACTTCTAATCTTATTCGCAAGCCTATGGCCCCCAAAACTCTAAACCGTAAACCCTGAACCCCTAAACCCTAAACCCAGCGGCCCTAACCAGGTGCCTCGGGTAAGCCGCCGATACGCAAGCCGTCCTGAAGTCCGTTGTCTGCCTGGCCTGAGACACGAAACTTGCTTCTCGTTAGTCGTGAAGGTTCAGGCGATGGGGCCCTAAATCCCTATATAACCCATTATAGTACTTTCCATTATCCCAATATAACCGCAACCTGAAACCCTGAACCCTAAGCCCTAAGCCCTTCAGCAGGATTCGGGGTTCAGGGAGAAAGCATACCAGACAGGTTGAAAACGATTTGAAACGCAGATTGGCTTGCAAATGTACAAATCCCAGAGGGTCCACATATGTTACCATTAGGGAATTGAGCCCATAATTCTTTCTGTAATATGGTATTTTGGGGCCTAATTCCCTAATAGTTGTATATATGGACCCTCTGGGAATGCCAGGTCAGTTTAGGGTTTAGGGCGAGCTAACTTCCTAGTACCCTTAACAGCGGTTACATGGCCCTTATAGAAGGTACTCAGGCCTAAACAGAGGGTAGATAGAGGGTCGAGGTATTCCCGAACCTAGGGCAGTAACATTATTGGTAATTAGACCTAACCCCATATACTGCCTACCTGAACAACCTTTGAACATGTTTCAGAGTTTGCTTTCATTTTACCAACTTTTGGGGTCCAAGTGCCCTATATAACCCCTACATAATCCCCAATCTATTCCCCTATATAACCCCATAGAATCCCTACATAGTCCCCCTTTTTTCCCCCCCCCCCCACAAATGTGGGTAAGCCAGGCCGCAGAGTTCACTACAAAAGTACATGTGGGCTCCCGCTCTGCAAGACATTGGCATGCCTACTGTTGATGCGGTTTAGGGTTTAGGGTTCTCCTACGAGTCAGACCCTGCACCCTACACCCTATAGCCCTAAACTTGTGGTTCGTGGTTTAAGGTTTCGGGTGCCTTATAGCCTATAACCCTAAACCCTAAAGTCTGAAATTGGGAACCTGGAGATATTTCATGGGATGGCCTTCAGTCACTCACAACTCTCGGGGTTGCCGGTCTGCATATGCAACCCAGCATGTTTCCGAGCCCTAAGTACAATAGGAGTCGAGTAGGAAAATGGAAAATCAATTATGAAACTACTATTGTATATTGGGGTTTCATAGGGATACTGGGAGAATGACATGGAAACTACTATAGTATATAGTAGCTTCTTCCATTTTACCATCCAGCCCATAGGGGTACCCTAAACCCTGAACCCTAAAAACTAAACCCTCAATCCTAAATCCTAAACCCTAGACCCTAAACCCTAAACCCTTAACCCTAAATCCTAAACCCTAGACCCTAAATCCTAAACCCTTGACCCTCAATCCTAAACCCTGAACCCTAGACCCTAAACCCTAAATCCTAAGCCCTTAACCCTAAATCCTAAACCCTGAACCCCAAACCCGAACCCTTGAAAATGGGTACCTCTTGTGCTAACTCGGGGTCAGGCTCGTGCGAGTTCCCTGATCATAGATCTCCTGCGCTTCAACTGGGGGCTTTAGGGCGGCTTAGGGCTTAGGGTTTGGGGTTCAGGGTTTAGGGCTGTTAGGCCTCAGGGGGGTCCAGGGTTTAGGGCTTTAGGCTTTAGGGTTTGGGGGTTTTAGGGATGATATTGGGGTGAAATAGGGATAATGGAAAACAAAATGGAAACTACAAGTCAGGGTTTAGGGTGTAGGGTTTTTGGGGGGTTCCCCAAAATTAGGGGTACCCTTTTGGGGGTCCCAAAATAGGGGCCATCATATTTTGGGGTCTATATTGGGGTCCCCTTGATTTTGGGAAACTACTAACTACTTGTCAACCTCCACAGTTTTTGAAAGCGGCCGTTGGCTGGTGGCACAGGATGGTAGAATTTTCCACCACACCCAGTGAGTGGAGCCAAAACTAACTGCCTCTAGTTCTGACTTATCTGAATAAGTGGGAATCGAAACCTCCCGCTGGCCAACCAAAATTTAGCCCAGAAGCAGAAGTAGTAGCAGCACTTGCTAGCGATGGTGGAAGTAGTCATGGTGGCAGAGTGGCGCAGCCGCAGCCGCAGCCGCAGCCGCAGCAGCAGCAGCAGCAGCAGCAGCAGCAGCAGCAGCAGCAGCAGCGACGTAAATAGAAGGAGCGGTGGGAATCCTGAATAGTGTTTACTGCTACTACTGCTGCTTCTACTACTGACCCAACGCTAACACGGACAAGGAAGACAACACCTAGCTACACTGCTACTTCTGCTTGCACCTTAAACCGCTAGTATCCATCGTTCCGATGGGCGATTGGATGTGTCGTTGGCAAATGATGACTCCACTGGCCTTTGGTTAGCTGGGAATGAAGGAATGGAAAAGAACATGGACACTACTATAATGGGTTACATAGGGTTTAGGGTTAGTGTTTACAAGAAAAGGAAGAGAAAGTGGCAACTGTTATCATGTGCTATACAGGATGTAGGGTTTACAAGGAATGGACAAACAAAATGAAAACTACTATAATGGGCTATACAGGGACTACATAATCCCAGCTTCGATGTCTTTTCCATTTGGTTTTGCATTTAATCCTCCACCACACAATATCCCCTGTAAAGATGCTAACTATCCAGCACGCCTGCAGCAGGGTTTCGAATCCTTCTTTCACCTTAGCAAGAGACAGACGTAAAGACTTGAACAAAGTGGTAGCTTCCCAGAACAAGGGGGCCCCAATATAGACCCCAAAATACTAGAATCCTTATTATGGGGACCCCTCAAAAGGTACCCCTAATGTTGGGAACTACCCAAGTGATGGACACCAAGTCGCCCATATGAACCGGGACATCACTTCCAGTCGCATTGAAACGACCCCTAAGCCCTAAACATTCAACCCGAACCCTAAGGCTCTAAGGACTCAAAATATAAGGCTTTTGGGCCCAAAGACCATACTAGACAAGGCTGTTGGGCTATTTTGAGCCTTAGGGTAAGCCTTCCAGTCCCACTGAAACGGATCAATAGCTGGACCCTAAACCCTAAGCCCTGGGTTTAGGGAGCCCTTCAGATGTGAAATCGAAGCCTCGGGCCTTGAAACTAAGACGCTTCCTGCTGACAAGACTATCATCCCCGGAAGCTTTTGACATAGGGCTTTTAGGGTTTAGGGTGTTGGGCTTGGGTTCAGCGTTTAGGGTCTAAGCGTTCACTGAAGCGGATGCTAGCAGCACCACAACAAAGACGTCCTGGAGCCTACCCTAAATCGTAAACTCCAAACCCTGTGCAACCCTACCCCCTAGAAACACTACTAGACATCAAACACATTTGCTTTGCCAGATATGTTCAACTGCCGGGGAGTTTTTTGTCAAAACTACACTGAGTGATCAAAGGAACTTGGAGATGGTGTCATTAGCCGAAACAACCTTGCTGAGCCCTCTGTGCTGAGTGAAGCGATTGGATTTGCTCTTGGGAGCTGACAAAGGACTGGCAAGAGCTTTTTGGCCTTCAACCCTTACTCTAGGGGTCCAAGGACCCAAATAATAGGGTTTCAGGGCCCAAATACCATTCATATAATAGTATTTGGGCCGTAAAACCTTATCATTTGGGTCCTTGGACCCTTAGGGTTAAGCTATTCATCCGGAAGCATGAGCATGACTTCGCCTTGGAGTCTCGCAGCTTCAGAACCGAAAATTGCGCACCCTTCCCCCCAAACCTGACATCAATGGGAGTTTATAACCAGGTAGCATATACCAAAGGACCCAAAACTACTGACATTGATGACGATGCCCGTGCAACGGACGGTGCAACATTACAAATTTCTCTTACTGGTTGTTAGTACGGAATAAGGGAATATAATCCCCATGTAATCCCTATATCATATAATCCATATTCCTCCTAACTCTAAACCCTAAAACCTATGATATGACATGTTTCCATATTCGCTACTGAGTAGTGTTTTTTGGTGGTTGAACCTAGTAAGAGAATATGCCTTACATAAAATACAATGCCCCAAAAGGAGGATAGAATCTTACTCTATATTGGGTACCATAGTATCCCCAAATAAAATACTACTCTACAAAGCACCCGTAAGTTCTCTGAGAGAATCGCATTGATGTCTGTGACCGCGCTGGTCTGGGCAGGGCTACGGTTTTTGTGGGTTTGCTTGGATTGCTTGGGTCTGCCACCTGGTAGCGGTTTAGGGCTGGGGTTTAGAGATTATAGGGTTTAGGGTGTAGGGAACCAAGCCTTTGCATCTAAGAGACATAATCAAGATTGATTTCTCTCATTCTATCATAAGCATGACCATAAAACTACTTATACTACTATAAGCATAGCAGGAACAAACAACCCAAAGAAGGAACACTGCGATTCAGCGCAGGCAACTAATTCACCTACGCTCTAGGTCTCATCAGATCGGCTATACTTTAGGGTTTAGGGCTTAGGGTTTAGGGTGTTTAGGGGCTATACTTTCCAGGTGAGGTGGAAATCTCCTAAGGCGCTGCATTTGGGCTTAGGGTCCGTTGACCCCAAACCCTAAAAGGTAGTTTCCCAAAATAAGGGGACCCCAGTATAGACCCCAAAATACTATAATTCTTACTAAGGGGACCCCCATAAAGGTACGCCTAATTTTAGGAAACTCTAAACCCTAAGTAGTAGTTCCCATTTTCTTTTCCATTATCCCTATATATACCCCATATTACCGCATATAGAAACCCCTAATTTTGGGAAACCCCCATATGAGCTACAGTCTAAACTCCTTAAAGGGGGTTATATAGGGGATTATGTAGGGGACTACTATAGGGGTTATCACGGCGGAAGCTAGGAGTTTAGACTATAGCTCATATGTTCATCCGAACCTGGGAGCGGATCCTAAGCCCGCAAAGCGTAAGCAACTCCAGGCCTCAAAGAAGAGCAGCCCGTTCTGAGTTGCGAATTCCTGCGCAGCATCATAGTAGACCTGGCAGGGCTTAGTGCTTAAGGCTTAGGGTTTTAGGGTTTAGGGGCAAGTCAATGCCATTGGCTCCATCAATGATGCTTCAGAATCGGCCACAACGCTTTCAAAAGCTGCTTCTTCTTGTCCGTTTGACCTGCTGCCTCGGCCTAAAGTCTACGAGGGACACCCACTGAATACAATGAAAAATGTCCTCTGGGGATAATTTAGCCACGTTCAGCATCTGTCTGGTCCTGCAATGTCTAGGCGTACCCTAGCACAGCAGCTGCTGTGTTCTTGCAGCCAGTTCGCTTGTCTGCCTAAGTTAGTGCTTTGTACTTACAGGCACCCACTATGGCCTCTCTTTTTGAGACCTGTCCCGTCCCCACCTGTCTAGAGGAGGGATCTTTGTCCGCCAGGTCTACCTTGTTTCCGACGAGCCTCATGTCTTGGGGCAAAGGGCTGTGGCAGTGGTGCTACTGTTCAGTGATTTAGGGTGTAGCCGAGAGGCCCAGTGTGCTCATAGTGAGGGGGGAAGAAGGTGGGACTAACCGCTTGGGGCTAGGCTGCATCAAAGGTCTTGCAATTTAGGGTTTAGGGGTTCCACGCATTCGAGCAAGCGCATGCCAGGCAAAGCAGCTTGTCTGCACGAGCTTAGGGCAAGAACTCTGATCTCATGTCTCATGTTAACACCACAACTGCCTAGCGTGCGAGCATCTGCAAAACCGCGGCCTCCTTGCCTGCAAAGATGAGTGAAGGAAGACAATCATGCGAAACATGCTTGAATAATCGCTGTCGAAAAGGGCCTTGCGCTGATCTTTCTGCTGATAGTTTCAGGAATGGAAATCTAGGTTATAATCAGAATATAGTAATAACAGAAAGGAATAGCAATAATAGCAGTGATCAGAAAAAGAATAGTAACAACAAATCAATAGTAAGAATAGTAATACTAATAGTAATAACAATACTAATAACAAAATATGACAGTAGTAGTAATAATAACAACAACGGTAATAATAGTAACTGCAAGAGTAATAGTACTAGTACTAGTAATGGTAATAGTAGTAGTGATAGTCATAATGGTAAGTGTCCGAACAACGCCCAAGGCATCTGCATGATCACAATGTCAGGCTCTGCGCTTTGCCGAAGTTCCTGCCCGGGGCTGTTGCTCTAAGGGATTTGGAACCCCAGTAGAAATTATAATTTCAACTAACTATTAGGATTATTGGTAACAGAAATTATTAAAAACAAATTCAGGAACCTTGTAGGTTGGGGCGGGGGCTTCCAGGCTTCAGCTTACTGGCTCTTAGGCTGCTGTTGCGGTTTAGATTTTAGGGTTGGGGGTGTAGGATTTAGGGTTTAGGGTTGTAGGGTTCAGGGTTTAGGGGGAACTTAAACCATGATGCAGGATTTAGGGTTTAGGGGGAACTTAAACCATGATATACGATTTAGGGTTGAGAGGGAACTGAAACCATGATGTAGGGTTTTAAGAGTTCGGGGGAACTCAAAGCTTGACGCGGGGTAGTGTTGTTGTCTCGGAACTTGAATGATGTCACCATGATGGAGAATCAAGGGCACATGAAGTACAAACTGCGGGCATGCATGATTGCTTCAGGGACCATGAAAAGGTGTATGTATGTACGTATGTATGTATGTACGTATGTATGTATGTAGGTATGTAGGTAGGTAGGTAGGTATGTATGTATGCATGCATGCATGTATGTATGTATGTATAGGGGTTAGGGTTTTGGGTAGATATATATATATATGTTAAATAATGAGATTATCTCATGATCTGAACTTGATTTAAGCTCCTTGACCGCGATCCAGGGTTTTCTCGCCACATGGCTGTACTGGTTACGGAGGATCTGTAAGGGGACGGCTTTCTCACGGAGCTGTATACGCACCTCAGTTGAGTGAGATCATCATACAGATGGTTACTCGAAGGGGAACCCTGATCCTGTAGTACAAAAAGTCAAGGGGACATGGGGTTGAAAGCCTTGAAAGCTCTGCTCAGGAAATCTCAGCTACCAGTAGAGGCTTCTACAGAGGCTGCGTGGAAACGCTGCCGTTGCGAGCAGTGAGCTGCATCAACTTGGATCATGAATCGTGAGCCTCATGCAGGGTTTAGGCTAGGGTTTAGGGCTGTGGGGGTGAGAAGTCCCACACGGTTTGCACTTACCCAGCCAAATTGGCGCAGTCAATCTGCGACCCTCCTATCTGTCTAAATTTGACCGCTTCGACATCCTGCCTCCATCCACTTTGCGCAGTTTTTGAAGGTCGTCTGGGACACAAGCACAGGCAAGGAAAGATGCCAGAAAGGCGATGTAAATCCTATGAGCCTACTCTCCTAAGTGGCCCCTGCAACGCAACAACTTCGTTTCCTTCAAGAATCGGAAAAGGAAGTGCAGAGAGCATGCGCAATGGTTCCTGCACTTATTCCGCAATGCAACGTCTGAATTGCTCGACAGTAAGGCGACGTGAGCGCTGAGCCTCTTTGGTGACGTCATAGCACAGGAGGGCACCGACCTGAACTCGAATCCAAAACAACGGGCCACCTGGGGAGGGTTGTATGAGGTTATGTAGGGATTATACGGATATATGGGGACCATATACGGGATTGTACAGGGTGATAAGCGTCTCGACAGTCCTAGAGCTGTTATCTGCGCTGCACTGGCAACTCTGCACATCCAACATTGCTTTGATGACTCTGAGAGACAAGATGAGACATCCGGTGCACCTTTTTGCTAAACAACCTTCACCAAGAACAGAAGGAACCTCCAAATAATGCTGGTCCCCTGAATATTAGCAACGCAAGACTGGCAGCTTAGCTCTGATACCAAATCCACAGTATATGGGCGGTTGTCAAAATTATGGTCCCTTTTGGGAACCCTATTATCATACGGCACCTATTATTTAGGGCACCCAAAATGGGACCATCATTTTGACAACCACCCACATGGTTGAAGTCGGGGTCTCCAGTGACAAAGAGGTTCATGGCCGATGCACCTCTATCTGGATCTTCGCCTGGCTTTGCACCACAAACTGCTGAGCTCTCGGCTGCCCGCCGGTAGTGGGTACTTGTAATAGCTCTGTACCTTGCCAGAGGTGGGGCTTCTCAACGATGGCTGCGAGTATGCAACTTCTGCAATTACACTTCAGGCGTGTGGAGTGCCAACTTCGGTATACTGTAGATAAGAAAGTAAGAAAGGATCGGCAGAATGAGAGGCCCTAGCACGCATCCCGCAATTCCAGTTAGACGGATAACATGTGGCCGACGGTTTGAAGCACGAAGCACTTTCGATACATGGTGGAACCTCTGTTGACAGAGGCCAAAGGCTCCTAGACCCTAAACCCTAAACCCTAGACCCTAGCCCCTAAACCTCTGTCGACAGAAATCAGGGCTCTTGTGCCGAAACCATGGCCGTAGGTTCTCACATGTACTGAAAGTTGTAAGCCGCCATTCAGATGGAGTCAACTTCCTCACTACCAGTAGTCGCAGTGGTGGTAGTGGTGGTGCTAGGAGTAGCAGTAGCAGTAGTAGGAGTAGTAGGAGTCGTAGTAGCAGTAGGAGTAGTAGTAGTAGTAGGAGTAGTAGGAGTAGGAGTAGGAGTAGTAGTAGTAGTAGTAGCAGTAGCAGCAGCAGCAGCAGCAGGAGTAGTAGTAGTAGTAGTAGTAGTAGTAGTAAGTGGAAATCATGATCATATTTTTTAAACATATGTGAATAGACAAGTAGAACCTCTGGCAACCCCTGCCGTTCTCACCACCATCACGCCCTCAAGCAAAGACTTTGTCTGGAACAGTTATACGATTTTGCTGGGCCAAGGCCGTTGAATGCCTGTAGGCGCTGAGAAAACCATGCTTGTTATGTTGTGGCAGGTGTAGGACGGCGCTGAGTATCCTTGGACTAGACTTGAAAGGCTTTTAGGGTTGAGTGCAAGCATGACTCGTGTCTATACATCTGATGCTGCAGTGGCCGATTGCAAGTTCATCCGGCAGCCGTTGATACTGGCAGCTCTGGGCGGCGATAATACGGTACCAGTACCAGCTGCTCTGCCGCATGGCCCAGATGAACAAACAGAAGCCGCCAGTAAAGCCTTGCTAGATCCTCAGACTTGGGAAGGCAACCCTCAAATGACTCACATTGACACCAGTTCTGCAAACATCCACAGCTCTGCCTGGCCTCTCCTGGCCAGCAGTATCCCAAATCTGCGCTTTGACTTTGCTTCCGTTTGAGAGCCTCATGGAGGGCGATTTTGGCTTCCGGCCGATTCAGGGTTTGGGCCGTAAAGCACGAGAATAGGAAGATGTGAGCGCAGCCGGGATCCGTCTAGAACCTGAGGCATGCAAATGACTCGTAAGCCCCAGCTGCTTCAGAGCTGCATGACGCTCTGACTTGAACAATGCGCAATTCTCATACTGTGTTGCATTTTACCTCTCAAGTAGCTCGAAAATGACGGTCAAGCTCGCTGACTGTCGCGTTTGCTGCGCTCACAGCTAAACAATGAGGCAATTAGTTTACCAAGGTATACTTGATTAAGATCTCTTCGGTTTCGGTGTCAAGCTTCAGTGTGACGTTTATGCCTGTGAAAGATCCTGCTACAGGCCCCACAGGTTTTTCGACAGATAGGGTTTTGCGCGGTAGCCTTTCGCAGCTTCAAAGCCTGGCTGTCATGGGCCAAGTATTCGTGCCCTAAATTTACTTGGTGTCTCCCAAGCTGAGGTCCACGAGCGAATATAGGGATCTGGGCCCCCTTGCTCATGGTGCTGGTCTTGGAAAGGATTTGGGGACCAGCCAATAAACCCTAAAAGGCTTCCCAAGGCGTTCGATTTGGGGACTTGTCAACCTAGGCCCTCCATCTACCCTCCCCTAAGGGTCCAAGGACTCAAATTCTGGGAGTTTGGGGCCCAAATACTATACTCTGAATGGTATTTGAAACCTAAAACCTTCATATTTGGGTCCTTGCGCCCTTAGGGTTCTATATACCCTACTAGGTCCCCTAGTAAACCCCTTAATAATAAGGATACCCTCCCAAAATAACAAGGGAAACAGGGTACCTAACCTAAATTAGCCTAAACCCTAAATCTAAACCATAAACCCTAGATAGTAGTTTCCATTTTCTTTTCCATTACCCTTATATAGCCCCAAAATACTATAGTAGTTTCCATTTTCTTTCCATTATCCCTATATAAGCCTGTATTACGCTAGATAATGACATCCCAAGGCTGCGACTTCACTATCCTCGTAGCAAACTCCACCCCGACGGTGGCAGTGGGAGCCTGGAGGACAAGCCACGATGCCATATGCGTTGGATACTGCCCCCACCCCACAACAGTTGGATATTTGTATAATATAGCCCTTAATATCACTGCTATTGTAGACTGTTATTGGGTAACTATAGACTGACCCTAAGCCCTAGACGTATGGTTGTTTGAAGGGATTCAGGATAGGACATTCCCCAAAGGCGAATTGGATTTGGGGACTTACAGCTTCTGACCCTGGAACGCAGGCCCTGCTCCTTGAGGCCGGTTCTACGGCTCTCAAAGCTTGCGAACTCCCTCACTAAAGGCTGATGGACTAAGCCCAGCCAACCCCCTCCATGAATGCTGGAACAGGCATGCAACAAACAAGTCTGAAGTGAGGCTTGCCTCCGTTACTCCCTCGACCCTAAGCCCTACGTGTCAACTACATGCCATGACCTCCGCGCCCCGAGGCGCGCGTGCGATAGTGTTTATAGTTACAGCATGTACGGGTGCGCCACACCCGTACACTGTTTGAATTTTGGTCTTTTGCACAAGTTTGATTCTCTGCGCAGCGCCTGGCTCCAAACTCCAACATCGGAAGTAACAACCCTGAGAACCGATTGCCGAGAGTAGATGACGTGCACATTCATGTGAGCTTCCGGCCTTGGGCTAAGCGGTTACTGATTTTCAACATTCAGTATATTGGGAAAAATATTGGGGTTACATTGGGACAATGGTGTGTGGTTGTATTGGGATCATATCAGGGTTCTATTGGGGTTACATTATGGGCCTCCGGCCTTGGGAAGCTTGCTCTTGACATACCTGGAGAGCAAGTGCGTCTTGCCGACCGTGGCATCGCCAACTAAAACCACCTGCCGTCGGACTGAATCTCAGCAGAACTACATGAAAGCTTTACCCTGAGGATCCATATGAGCCATAGTCTAAACTCCTAGTAGCCCCTTAATAACCCCTAAAGTACTCCCCTGTATAATCCCCTATATAACCTACCTTCAAGGAGTTTAAATTATAGCTCATATAACCCAATGTAGGTAAGGTTTACAGACTTTAGGGCCCAATATGGGTGTAATTTGCATACTGGGATCCCTAGAGTTTAATTAGGACTTTAGGGTTTAGGTTGCAGCTGCTTGTGGAACATACGAAATACTTGGGCCGATTATAGCTACGCTTGCGGGGGCGGGCTTCAAGTGCCAGGTCACCGGGCAAGATATTGCCAACTAACAAAAGTCTTTTGGCCGTCTATGTTGGGGGTCATATTAAGGGATCTATACATATATAACTATATCATAGATATGATTCAACTGTTACAGAGTGGGGGCAGTACCGAAAGCATCCTTCTTTTTCTACACAATTTCGGGACATCCTGAGCGTCAGATCGTGGGTTTTCTCGATCGTCTGGGCTACCCCGCATTCATGGAACTGCCATGCCATGGGCGCAGACAAGGCTGTATAAAGGAACTCCCCAAGAGCATATTCTTATGGTTATTGAGATTAGTACTCGTATGTTAATTCTTTCTATTGCTGCAAGTTACTACTATGATAATGCTAACTGGCTTTAAGTTCCTTAGACGCAAACCATGTCTCCCGGGTTCAGCCTTGTAGAAATGATCATAGTCGTCATCTCCCATTGTTCAGGTTGACGGCAAACAATCCGGCTGCTGGTTCTTGCAAAATTCCTGTGTTAGGTCAACCACGCGGGGTCCAAGTCAAAAAGTTTCAGGGGTTAGGGATTAGGGCTTAGGAATGTGGTAGCTTCCCAAAATAATGCCTCCAAAATACTTCAAAATACTATTCTGCTTTATTAAGGACCCTCAAAATGGTTCCCCTCATTTTGGGAAACCCCCATGTGGGTTTAGGGGTCATAGACCCCAAAATGTCAAAGAAGGCACCTGGCTGGGCCCAAAGTATGTGCAAAATGGATGCTGGAGGGCAGACCTATGTATCATGATTGGTAGATATGAATAAGGAATCGTTCGGGGATTGTGGTTGGAAAGGATTTTCGTCCAATACGCAGTCGAGATATGAGAGGAACCATGGAAAACATATGGAGAACGAAATGCTTGCCCTAAACTCTAAACCCCGAACTGGTTATGGAAGTTTATACAGGGTGAGATGAGGATTTAAGGAACCTAAACTCCTTGTATCAGTTGGGGTCAGCTGGCCAGCTCAAAGGGCTTAAGGCTAGTATTCCCTTGTATCTGTTCAGGGTTGAGGGTTAAATCCCTAGGTAAACCCTGAACACTGAATGGAGTGATTACTGTCCATGTCAGTTGCCATTTGATTTCTCTACCTTGAGGGGTTAGACATCCCTTCATTTTCCATGTGCTTCTCCATTGTTGGGGTAGGACTCGCGATGGGGCTTAGGGTGTAGGGTTTAGGGTTGTGGTATCATTTAGGTGGACCCCCCACCCCTTTAATAGTGGTATAATAGGAATATAAGAGGACCGTAATACAACCAATCATCATGATTGCTCGTACTCACTTAGGGTGCGCGGTCCACCTAAGGTATTATGCTCCTTTATCCCGAAGCACTTTGATGGTGTGGCTCTCAGATACGAGGCGAGACCCCGCAACAAGATCCCTCAAACCCCAAAACCCTAAACATAAAATCCTAAACCCTAACCCTAAACCAAAACTTCCTAAACCCCTAACCCTAAACACTAAGCCCTAACCCTACACTCCCTAGACCCTAAACCCTGCACCCTACACTCAGAACCCTGAACCCAAAACCCTGAAGAGTTTTAGCCAGCTTCAGCCCAATTCAGCACCTACAGGCTGCAGTCCTGGAAAATCTTGTGCAGCTATGTCAGCTTACCTGCAAGCGACCTACTGGTGTTGAAAGGGGAGTGTATATAGGCGCACTTATAGGGATATGTATACAGGTATAGATAGATCTAGATAGATATAGGTAGATATAGATAGGGAGTATTATAGGGATCCACTCCCCAATTCTGCCCTAGGCACCAGTAAGGCGAAGTGGAATCAGAGTTTGGGGTTTGGCTTTGGGATTTAACGGTCCTGTGAAGCCTAAGCGCAGCATTTCCATGAGGCCTTGCAGGCATGCACTCCCGTAAGGTTGGAAACCTGCTATCCTGGTCATTGTTGTCTTCGCGCTGCGTTTGACACGTGCTCAGTAGACTCTGTACCCTGAACTGCTGAATCCTGCGCGGGCAACTGGAAACCCCAATGTCCGGCCTAGTCGCTGGCGCAGCGCTTGCGACCCGTCCCCCTCTTGAGACTTCTACGGCTGCGATTCATAGCATAGGTACTAACTTGTGATGCAAGTTTTGTGCCACCGAGCTCGGAACAGAAACTAGGGACATCTATGGACACCCAAAAGAAGGGAAGGGACCGCATGCAAGCCTCAAATGGGACAGGAATCCAGTATGCCAACTTGAGTTCCTGCGGCCCAACGACCATGCAATATACAAGCTCTGCAGCACACACGTCAAACCTGGGCTGAATTCATCTTGGCAATCTAGCCGGCCTGAGAGATCTACCTACCTGGCCCCATTTTGCAGAAGACCCCTAATTAATGAACCCCCGCCTTTTCTGGGCCTTAATATTAGGATCCCCAGTATGAGCCCTATTCATGGGAGGGAATATAGCCCCTTAAATATCCCCCCGTATAATATGGTCCCTTGTTCCCTACTGAGAACCATGAACTCTACAGGCTGTGGCAGCAGCGAGTATGAGTAAGGCTTGGACAGGCGCTGCCATGTCGAATGCCACCGGATACGAATCAGTCGAAGGGTTGTATATCTGTGGCGGCACCCCTCTGATGCATTGACAAGGCCGAGATACTGGCGCAAAAGTTGGTTCGATGAAGCTACTTGGAGCGCGTGCATAAGTTGTAGTTTCCAGCCCCAAAGACAATGAGGCAACGTATGAAACAGAGGGCAAGCTCTGGGGCTAGCTCATCTTCAGTTTTTGAGTGGTTCGACTCATACCAGGACCCTCAAGGCACCCTTGAATAGGGGTAGATGGTCCCGAATTGGGGGTATATATAGAGGGTAGATGGAGGGTCTAGCTAGATAGCTAGCACATTGCATGAATTATTTATGCTGAAGTCACACCGTAGTCCCTGCAGTGTGTGCTAGCAACCCTGTGCCATCTTGCATGCAACATGGAACTCATGGAAGCCGCCATGAAATCTGAGCTTAGAGCCAAGATGCTTCCAAGGACACCATCAGGCTTTCAACACGGTAAAGTTTCAAACCAGAAAAGCTGAAATAATTGTCCCAATGCCACAGTTGTTTAAATGACTACTGTAGAGCTGGGTGGGAGCAAGACAGCCGAGGCACAGTAGAAGAATCACATCCAAGGATTGGGGACAACTCGTCTGAAATCGAGTGGACATGCCTTGTATCGGGACTGGCTGGCAGTTGATTCAGCCCGTGCTGACACAAATTGCATCTAAACCAAAGTGGCTAATTCCCGTGGCAACAATGATGCAAACAAGTAGAACTACCAGCAACGACAGAAGCACTAGCACCAGCAGCGGCAGCGGCGGTGGCTGCAGCGTGTGGTGCCAGTGTGCGGCGCAGCAGTGGGACACTGGTGAGTGAGCAGCGGCAGTGGCACAAGTAGAAAAGATGCTGCTCTTGTTGCCTTGGCCGTTTTGATGGTACCATGCTCCTTTAGGGTTGATCCTTTAGGCTTATGGGTTTAGAGGTCTAAGTGTGGAAACGGGCAAACATCAGGATTCCTCTTCGCCACATCCAAACGAAATCAAGTTGCAAACCTAGAACTCTACAAAGTAACAATAGATGGCAACTCTAGATGAAGTAGCTCAACCTTCTTACTAAACCCTAAACCCTGAACCCTAGACCCTAAACCCTAAACCCTGAACCCTAAACCCTAACCCCCCTAAACCCTAAACCCCGAACCCAAAACCCTAAACCCTGAACCCTAAACCCTTCAAACCCTGAACCCTAAACCCAGTACTACCCTCTAAATGAGGAAGTGCTACCAACATGGCTGAAGAACTGTA